TACCTGTGGGTGGAATCAAATTGCCAGCCTTTCTGTTAGCAGCCAAGCGCATGCATTGTCTCTACCTAGGACTCTGGGAGCAACAGCAGATCCCCTGCTAAATTGGATCCAAGAAAAGGCCACGTTTGATCCTGACCTCTGTACTTTGAACTGAACTGTGCTTCCCACCCCACCCAGACAAAGACAGGTTGCAATCCTAACCCCTGGCATTTGTGACCGTGTGTTTGGAAAACGGTCTTTGAAGTTGTTATTGGGGAGCATGAGGTCATCCTGGAGTCTTTACAAGGACATGACGCATATTGGGTCCTAATCCAATATGCGTCATGTCCTTGTGAAAAGAAGGGACGCAGAAACACAGGAGGAAGATGGTCATGTGAAGGTGGCGAACGCAGTGCAGCGATGCTGCAGCTGCAAGTCAAGGAACGCCAAGGCTCGCCACTGTCATGGAACAGAATCTCCCTCAGCACTCAGGAGTCAGCACAACGGAAACCCTTGCTTCAGACATCTAGCTTCCAGAACTGCCCGGCAGTATCACTATGTTCATCTAAGGCACCGCTTTGCTCTAGCGGTCTTAGGAAACCAGCACAGTCTTTCTGTGCACACCTGGGTGCAGCCGGAGTCCTTACTGGTCCAAGCGTATAGGAGCAGCAAGGTAGGAAGAGGCATGAAACTAAAACCCAAAACCCCAATCTCCTGCCATCGAGTTGATGCTGACTCCCAGTGACTCTCCAGGACAGGGTAGAACTGCACCTGTGAGTAACTGCGTACAGGAGTAGAAAGCCCCTTCTTTCTCCTGCTGGTGGTTTCAAACTGCCAACCTTGCAGATCACAGTGCCATGTGTAATCACTAATCCACCAGGGCTCCTTGGGAGAGGCAAAACCCGGCTATTTGACTGATGCGCCACAGAGGAGGATTGCACCTTGACCCAAGGTTTTTACTTTGGGTAAACCTCTTCACTATTCTGTAACTCATTCTCCCTATCTGTAAAAATAGGATTAAGAATAATTCTTGCTTTGCCAGCCACAGAGGGTTGTTTTAGGATTAATTAGAAAACTTTATGAATAAAGTTTACTTGTAACTATTTGCTATATATTCCTTATTAAAAGCTATGATGGAATGGAAAGTAACCCAAATGATAATAATAAAACTATGATAGTAATTTGGTACATTAAAAATAACACATACAAGGCTTGGTGCTAAGGGTCCGACATGCGTTTTCTTATCTGAATCACTAAGTCTTCCTGATTATCTCCTTCATTTTTCTCGATTCCCTTCATTTCTTTTGGTCTCTACTTGTACCCGGTCACCAAGATGTCTCTCCAGCATCCTTGCAACACTTCCCTAACGGTTATTCCCACCTCTAGCCTGGACTTCTCCAATCGACTCTTCTTAGCCCCAGAACCATGGTGACTCAGAATGTTTCTGTAAGAATGGCTTAGGGGCAGCCATTTAGTTGCTCCTGCAACTGGGACCAAGGCTAGCCCAGAAAGCAATACAGTGTGGAATCAGCCTGGCTAGGGTCACGTCTAGCACCATTCCTTACTAGCTGCGTGGCATTACATTTCCTTTCCTCCTTGTGAAGATTAAATAAAGTATCCCATTTTTCAAAACTACTTAGAGCATCACCTGGCAAAGGGAAAGCTTCGGCGAGTAGTAGATGTACTCGTTCTTGTTTGTCTGCTGAGGTAATATGACAAGTCAAGTGTCTAACTTAGAATACTGGTTCCCTTGATGGAAACTACTGAGGGGAACACATGTTGGTTCAGCTGCTGAGGTATTTGTGAAAATGATGATAAAGCTAGCCATAGTGCAAGGAGGTACCCCGCCCCCCTCCCCCAAAACCTGGAACTTTCCCCAAAGCTATGTATTAAAAAAAGCCTTTTTTTAAAAAAACAAAAGAACCTTATCACCTTCAAAGTACTCTCCATTACTCATAATACATTTGTCAAATCGGCAATTCCATTCTTGGAAACATTTTTAAACTCGTCTGTTTGGATGGCTGACAGCACCTCCCTTGTTTTCTCTTCACCTCTTCTAGGTCATCAAATCACTGTCATTTCATGTCCTGTCTCATTCGCAGAAACAAAAAGAAGTCCCATGGAGTGAGGTCAGGAGAGTCAGGTGCATGGGGCAAGAGAGACATGCTGTTTTTTTGCCAAAAACTGGCACAGTGAGCAGGTGCATTGTCATGGTGCAAAACCAGTCCTTCGGCTGCCACAAATCAGGTTTGTTGTTGTTACTCACTGGGAGGCAATCTTTCCAGAACCTCTAAATACTGTGTTTTCCCGAAAGTAAGACATCCCCAGAAAATAA